CCCATTTCTGAGCTGTTCCTTCCTCGTGCTCGCTGTGCTGAGGCTCCCCTCCCCAGCCCGTATCCCAGAGCCGGTCCCTGTCCTGCCGCAGTGTCCAAAGGCGGCCCCCCCGGCGGGCAGGGCCGGCAGCTCCACGGGGCCGGGCAGCGGCCGGGGCGTCCCGCAGCCTCCTGGGGGCCGGGGGCCACTGCCGGCCCTGCCCGGGGGGTGCTGGGCTCAGGCAGCGCCCGGCGCTGAGCCCCGGCTGCCCCACAGCCCCGGCCCGGCCCCACAGCTCCCCACAGGCCCCCAGCCCGTGCTCCCGGTGCCGCAGCTCTGCGCCCGCTCCTGCCGCTCCCAGCTCAGAGAAACCCCCTGAAATCCTGACCTCCTTGTTTTCCTGTCCTGGAAAACTGGGATACAAAGGATCTGAGTCATCTGGCAAATTCGGAGGATAAGACCATTCTGAAAAACATCCCAATCCTCAGTATTTTTCTCTTCCTCTTCTTTTCCATCATCTTTTTTGTTACCCCATAGATTCCTCCTGCTGCTTCTTGCTTTAAGCACATTCCTTCACACTCCCCTTCAGCCAATCCCTTCCCAGCACACCAACACCATCCATCCCCTGTTGTCTAAATCCCTTCTGGACTTCCCTTATTGCCCCCCTGGGTGTCCATGTCCTTAATTCCCTCTGGGAGAATGTGCAAACGACCTCCACATGCTCCCAAGGGACCCTTGGGAGATATTTTGGGATCCTCATCCCTTTTGCTGGGACCCCATTGTGGCTTTCCCTTTTGTCCCCTCCCTGGGTGCCCTGCCATGTTTACTCCCCGAAGATGCCACTGGAGTCACTGCTGAGATTTTCAGTGCTCTCTCCCTGCCGACTCTTGAGAGCCCCCCTGATCCGTCACTCGTCTGTCTCCTGCTCACTCTCGGGTACCCAATCAATCCCCGGTGCCGCCGCCAGCCGAGGGAGCCGATCCCCCAAACTGGGTGAGGCACCTTCAGCTGCACTCACTGCCCGCCGGCCCGGACGGTGGAAGGAATTGCGGAGGAGCCCCAAGGTGTGTGGAAAAATTGACATCCCCAGAGGTTTCTGTCCACAAGGAAGACAGAGGAGTCCTGTAACAGTAATTTCATTCATAAAAAAGGGAGAGGCCATGGGACATTTCCCATGGGGTCTCTCCAATTGTTGGCAGACACAGCCTCCTTTTCATCCTAATTTTCTTGGTCACATCTCCCTCTTCCCATTGGCTGAAGTCCTGGAGAGGTACAGACTTCCCAATGCACCTCCTACATACCCCCTTAATATGCACCCCACTTTTGTATAGCTAAGGATATTGATGGCTGTGTTAAGTCTTTGTTGTTCTTCTGGAAGTTGATGAATTTAGCAGGACCTTGGCTGAGCAGCAGTCTGTGTCATCAATTAATAACATTTTGTGCAGCTGATGGCTCCTCCTGTCACTTCCTTATGTCCACGTCCCTGGCCCTATGTGCAATGAGGTTGACGGGATCAGTTTGTAAAGAGCCTTTGTTGTTCTTCCTTTGCTGGGGTTCCCCCGTTTTGGGGCCATCCCCCCTGGAGCAGGGTGTCCCCCCTTGGTGCAGGCGCAGGGCTCAGGCAGGGCTGAGCCAATCAGAGCGCGCGGCGCTGATGACTCATCAGTGTCCAGGCAGAGCCGCAGCTGCCAGCGTTGCCCAGCTGGAGCCCAGCTGCGCCCCTCCCCCCCGGGCCTTGGCGCCCCCCTTGAGGGGAATTTGGGGAGGTGGGAGGGGGGAGCGCCAAGGCCGGGCCCCCCCGCGCTGTGGTGGCGGGAGCGGCTGCAGTGGGGAGCGAGTGCGGGCGGAAGCGGCCGAGAGCCCAGCGCTGCCCCAGGCCGAGCTGGCCCAGCTCCATCCGTGCCCCTGCGGTGGGATGCTGTGGGACTGGGGGGGAAGAGGGAGGCGGCAGTGGGTGCTGGGCCTGGGGGCAGGAGGAGAAGGGAAGGAGCAGCAGGGTTGAAGACCAGAATGGTCAAAGGATTCACGTGGGAAGAGCAGGTGGGATTGTGCAGAAGGAGGAGAAATAGTAGGAGGAAGAGGAGTGTGAGGTAGAGTAGGGCCATGGGAGGAGGAAGAGGAGCAGGAAGAGGAAGCAGGAGAAGGTTCCACCCTCGCTGTATGTGCAGTCCCAGTAGTGTTGCCCTGGAGGTGACTGGGGTGGGGATCCACGATTTTGATGGGGCTGAATCTTGGTGTTTCTGAACTTTATTGGGCTAAATGTTGGTGCTTTGTTTTTTTGCAGGGGCTGAATCTTTGTATTCTGGAGGGGGTTTTGCCTGAATTTGGTGTTTGGGTTGTTTTTCATCATTGCTTTGATGTTTGGGCTGAATGTTGGTGCTTCACTTTGTTACAGACACAAGATGCCCAATGAATTTCTGAGATGAACTTGGGCATGGAGGAACCCGCAGCCCAAGGCGCTCTTCTCTCTTTTTCCTCCTAACCAGGAATTTTCCTTCCCAAACTGTGTCCAGATGGAAGAGGAGGAGAAAAAGCCCCAGAGATCCTGCTTGAGGAGGGGCTGCAAACCCAGTCCAGGGAGCTGCAAGGAGGAAAGATCCCCCCAGTGCCAGGAACACGGCCAGAGATCCAGCCGGAGCTCAGAGCTGGGGGAGAAGCCCCACAAGTGCTTGGAATGTGGGAAGGGCTTCAGAAAGAGCTCCCACGTGATCCAGCACCAGAGGATCCACACTGGGGAAAAGCCCTACGAGTGTGGGGAATGTGGGAAGAGCTTCAGCCGGAGCTCCAGCCTGAGGAATCACCAGGTGATCCACACTGGGAAACGGCTCTATGAGTGTGGGGAATGTGGGAAGAGCTTCAGAGATATCTCTAACCTGATGAGACACCAGGTGATCCACACGGGGGAACGCCCCTACACCTGCTTGGAATGTGGGAAGAGCTTTGGGTGGAGCTCCACCCTGAGAAAACACCAGCTCATCCACACTGGGGAGAGGCCCTACGAGTGTCCCCAGTGTGGGAAGAGGTTTCAGCAGAGCTCCCATGTCCTCCGACATGAGCGAATTCACACAGACGAGAGGCCCTTCCGCTGCCCCGACTGCAGGAAGGGCTTCCAGCAAAACTCCCACCTCACTCTACACCGGCGCATCCACACTGGGGAGAGGCCCTACGAGTGTCCCCAGTGTGGGAAGAGCTTCTCACAGAGCTCTAACTTGACCCAACACCAACGGAGTCACCAGTAAGGGAAGCCCTGCGAGTGCCCCGAGTGCGGGAAGAGCTTCGTGCGCTGCTCCAGCTCCATCCCCCATGGGAGGATCGGCGTTGGATGATCCCCAGTGACCCCCGTTGGGCAGAGCCCGGGTGATCCGTGGTCCTGGTGATCCGTGTTGGGAAGACACCTGGCTGGGAGGCTCCATATCTTCCTGGCTCCCTGTGGGCACCTGGATGAAAGCAGGGGAATGAAAATCCAATGGGATACAGACCGACAGTGGGAATTGTTTACTTTCAATCCTCGAGAAGCTTTTGCCTCAGGAGCTCTATGGGCAGATGAAAAGGGGGTGACACCAGAGTGGGGGTCCCTGGGGGGAACACACATGCTCTGGGGGAGGGAGGACACGACCCCTGGGACCCCCTCTCACCTTCCTGCACAGGCAGAAGTTGAACCCCAGTGCCAAGAAGACAAAGTCCAACATGGAGACTCCAATCCCTGTCAGCCTCTTGCTGTGGGCAGCGTTTCACGGCATCCCTGAGGGGGTCTGCAGGGGTCAGGACCCTCAAAACCTCTCACAGACACCTCAAGCCTTTCCAAGGACCCTCCCAGTGTCTCCCAGCCCACCCAGGACCCTCTGAAACCTTCTTTGGAGTCACTAATTTTAAAAAATTACATATGTTAGAAAAACTGGAGATCTTAGCTAGAGATAGGCCTTGCTGGAAGTAGTTAATGATTAAGTGAGAAGCAGGATTTGAGATAATGAATCTTGGACTCAGGTAAAAAATTCCTTTTCACTGTATGTTTGTTCAGCTGTGCTTATAATGAGAAAAGAGAAGCTGATAAACAGGATCAGGAAGATCACAGACCTTACATCTGGAAACCCATTTCAAAGTCACAAGGGAGGAAACTGGAGTTGTACCAAATGTCATTTGTAATGTCAACCACTGTAAAGGTAGAAAGGTGAGAGTGAGGAAGAGCGGTTTTCCTTCATCTCTTGATGACCCCT